CTCAGTTTAATGAAAGATAAAAAATGAAAAAATACTTATTGAGGGCTTCTTGTGTGCCAGGGACTTTCAGGCCATTAAGGATACAATAATAAGTAAAATATATAAAAATTGTGGAACTGCTGGCAATTGGAGAAATCTGATCATGGATTGGTATAAGATAATATTAAGAGATTGTTTTTATTTTCTTGGTGTGATAATTGTTGTGGCTATATAAAAATATTATTCTTAAACGTATTAAAGTATTTCGAATTCTCACTATCTAAACCACTTATTATCAAATTATTCAGGAAAATTATCTTATTCAAAAGGAGAAATTTACTCAAAGTAACATTTTTAAGACTTTTATCAGTTTTCCTTTATGATAAAGTGGTTGTATTTGTGATAGAATTACACATAGTTAGAAGTTACTGATTTATTTTATAATTGAAAGGATATAGATAGACCAAATAGACATAGCAAATAATGGCAATGATATAAAATCGGTGCCTCCAGTAGATAAGGGTTAATAAAATGGTTCATTTACAATTCTTTAAACATTTTTGTATGTTTGACATTTTTCCATTGAATAAAGAGTTAGAAAAAAAAAACGTGTTCGCTGGAGTGTACATTGCAGTGGGAAGATACAACAAAGAAATAAATAATGAGCATATGATATGTCAGATGCTGACAAATACTATAGTTTATCACAAAACAGAAAGAGGAATGAGAGGCATAGTTTGAACAAAAGTAATTTATAAAACTGTATTTGAGTAATATTTAAAGTGTCAAAAGTGCCATGACTAAAGAATGATTTATACGCTATGGAGTGTGTAAACAAAACCTTGAGAAAAGAATATTTGAGCAAGATCTTAAAGAATAAGTGGAAATTTGCTAGAAAAAAAGAAGGGTCAGGGCTGAACCTTGAAAAAGTATTCCAGGGTAGGTTAATAGCAAGAATGAGTGGTTCCTAACCTCTATTAAAAATTTCTAGGCTGGCGCCACGGCTCACTAGGCTAATCCTCCACCTTGCGGTGCTGGCACACCGGGTTCTAGTCCCGGTCAGGGCGCCGGATTCTGTCCCGGTTGCCCCTCTTCCAGGCCAGCTCTCTGCTGTGGCCAGGGAGTGCAGTGGAGGATGGCCCAAGTACTTGGGTCCTGCACCCCATGGGAGACCAGGATAGGTACCTGGCTCCTGCCATCAGATCAGTGCGGTGCACCGGCCGCAGCGCACCAGCTGCAGCGGCCATTGGAGGGTGAACCAACGGCAAAGGAAGACCTTTTTCTCTGTCTCTCTCTCTCACTGTCCACTCTGCCTGTCCAAAAATTTAAAAAAAAAAAATTTCTAGTTCAAGGGTTCTGGAATTTGCATTTTTTACAAAGCTCCACATAACTCTAAGTGCTCCAGAAGTTGAGATTGTTTTAAACATTTATGTACTTATTTGAAGGGCAGAGTCACAGAGACAGAGAGAGGGACAGAGTTCTTCCATCCACTGGTTCACTCTCCGGAGAAGTGGCCACAATAGCTGGAGCCAGGCTAGTCCAAAGCAAGGAGCCAGGAGCTTCTTCCAGGTCTCCCAAGTTGGTGCAGGGGACCAAGGATTTGGGCCATCTTCCACCACTTTCTCAAACGCATTAGCAGGGAGCTGGATCAGAAGTGGAGTAGCTGGGACTCGAACTGGTAACCACTTGGGGTATCTGCATGGCAGATGGCAGTTTTACCTGCTATGCCACAGTGCTGGCCCCCAAAAGTTGAGCTTCTGTAGAATGGAACAGGGATAACATGTGGGAAAAGTGAGAATGCGGCAAGTATTTGGAAATTTAGGCTGTTGTTAGTCAGAAAAGAACTTTATAAAATGTTAAAGATTTTGTAGGTTATGTTGTAAGTACATGGGAGTCACCAGAGAATTTAACCAAAGGGATTCCACTGGCAGCTTTACTGAATTTTAGAGAAATAACTCAAATGATATATTCAAGAAGACGATAGAGTGGAGATACTAGGAACAAATGAGGCTAGTAAACGGGACTATCCTAGTTCAATTGAAAGTTGATGGATCTGCACAAGGCCCTTATGTTCCAATGGAGAGATATATTGAGGGAGATTGTGCAAGTCTGGATGATGTGATGTGGGTGAGAAAGATGATTCCAAGTTTCCAGATTTTGTGACTCACTAATGCATTTAAGGAAAGTGGAAGACATGGGTTGGGGTGTGGGGTTGGGGGAGGGTGGAGACAGAATGTATGTCAGCCTGAAGTTTCTGAAAAGTGTGTGAAACATACACACGGATATATCCAGAAAGCAAAGGAAAACACAACTCTGAAGTTTGAACAAGGTTTTGAAACAGATTAAGAGATTTTTGGACATATTCATTTATGTGTTATGGTTGGAGTCCTGGGTCCTAGTGTTGGTGGGAAATACAGAAGATGCCTGCAGAAGATTCCAAGCACAAGAGAAGTAAATTTGAACAGTGTTGAAGAGCTGCCCAGGAGAAAGGGGCAAATAAAGACATTCTTTCATGGTAAAGAGTTTCGGGAATTCCTGTTTGTTTTTTTTTTTTTTAACGCTGCCTTGGGACACATAAGTAGTTAATAACTGCTCAGTTTTATGATGACTTGATGGCATGTGTAAGAATCAGCTGCTGTGGCATAGAAGGTTAAGCATCTGCCTGTGGTGCTGGCATCCCATATGGGTGATGGTTTGAGTCCTGGGTACTCCACTTCCTATCCAGCTCCCTGCTGCTGACCTAGGAAAGCAGTGGAAGATAGCCAAAGTACTTGGGCTCCTGCACCAGCATGGGAGACCTGGAAGAAGCTTCTGGCTCCTGGCTGTGGATTCTGCCCAGCTCCAGCCATTGTGGCCATTTGGGAAATGAACCAGCAGATGGAAGGCCTCTGTCTCCATCTCTCCCGCTCTCTGTAACTCTGCCTCTCATGTAAATAAATAAATCTTTAAAAGAAAAATCAACTGCTAGCCTATTTGCAGTATCTCCAGATTCTAGATGAGAACCAATGTTTCCATTAATGAATCAAGGAAAGTAAAGAATATTAAAAAGACACCTTTTTGAATTGTTTTATACAGTATCAGAACGCACCCTAAATCATAGTTTATAAAAAATGACCATTAAAACAAACTGCTTTTTAAGGTCTCAGGCAATTTCCAAGTGGTTTAAAGACTATCAGTGTGCTTCAAAAAGTTGTGTAAAATGAAATTAAAAGGTAAGTTTATTTTGGCACAAAAATTTTGAAACCCATGCCCAGTTTTTTCTTTCCTTTTTTTTTTTTTTTTTTTTTTTTTTTTTTTATTATCTGACAGAGTTAGACAGTGAGAGAGAGACAGAGAGAAAGGTCTTCGTTCCGTTGGTTCACCCCCGAAAATGGCTGCTAACGGCCGGGCGCTTGTGCCGGATCCGAAGGCCAGGGAGCCAGGGTGCTTTCCTTCCTGGTCTCCCCATGCGGGGTGCCGGGCCCCAAGCGACCTTGGGCCATCTTTCACTTGTCCTCCCTGGGCCACAGCAGAGAGCTGGACTGGAAGAGGATCAACAGGGACAGAATCCGGTGCCCATATGAGATGCCAGCACCGCAGGCAGAGGATTAACCAAGTGAGCCATGGTGCTGGCCCTTTTTTATTTATAATTTTTTTTTTAGTTTTTTCTTAATATTAACTTTTATTGATCTTAGTAAAGACCCTTCATATGCATGGATTTAAAACGAAACTGTAGGGGCTGGCGTTGGCGCGTAGTGGATTAAGCTGCTACATGCAATACCTGCATCCCATAAGGGCACTGGTTCCAGACCCAGTAGCTCTACTTCCAATCTAGTTCCCTGATAATGGCCTGGGAAAGCAGCAGAAAATGGTTCAAGTGCTTGGGACCCTGCCGCTCTCATAGGAGACCTGAAAGAATCTCCTGGCTCCTGGCATCAGCCTGGTCCCAGAACTGTCTGTTGTGATCATTTAGAGTGGGAACTAGCAGATAGAAGATCTCTCTGTCTCTCCCTCTCTCTCTAACTCTGATTTTCAAATAAATACATAAATATTTTTTAAAAAAGAAACTGTACTCAAGTAAATTTATGTTTTAATTTCATTTTTCTCAAACTTTATAAAGTACTCTTGTATATGTTAACCTTTCTGCAAACGCTTATATTTTCTTTGGTTTTCTAACAGTTCAGACTTGGCTCCTTTTCTCATGTTAGCACAGTAGCCTCAATCATTTAAAAAGCATTTTTTTTTCCTGTAGTTGATAGCATTTGTATGGCTCTTACCAGCTACCAACAACACTTCAAAAACCATCCAGTAGGGAAAAAATAGTCTTCTGACTCCAGTAGCCATTACACTACAGCTTGTTTTAACATCCAGGCTGATGGAATGAAAAGCAACAGTTTTCAATTGTCATTTGTGTAACCGCCACCTCATCAGATCATATTGTAAACCATGGTGAACAAAAGACCACAATTATTCATGGATTATTAATTACATGGAAAAAAAGGAAGACTAAAATCAGTCATTGGAAAGATTAGCAATGCTGATTTTACTCATTGAGCAGCTGGATGACCTTCAAACCAAGTAGGCTATGCAGATGTGTTGAAAGAGATGGAAGAAGAAAAGCATAATATTTATTGGACCTGATGGCATCTTACAGGATTCGGGCTCATAATTTCCTAAGTGACTCAGCTGTCCTTGCACAATCAGTGCTTTGAAAGACCCATTTCCTCAGGACAGCTCTTAAGTACTAAATGGTGCTTTGATGACCTTTGTTATTAAAACTCTCCAGTTTACCAAAATATGTTCTAGACCACCGTGCTTACCTACTGGATGAATTAATTTCTATTTCATTAAAGAAATATCTTATGAACCCTTACCACACACACTGATCCATTTAATTTCCTTCAGTGAGTCTAAATTACTGTTAGAGTCTGAGCCATTAGCCCTTCAGTATTTCCTGTGTTATTTTGAGCTTCTTCAAAAGAATTTTTGGTCATATGCTGAAAATACATTTTAGTCAAATGATTACTCTTCATTCAGGAAGATGCTGAAAGTTTGGGAAATTTAAAAATAAAGAGAAAGCAACAGAGCAAGGCTGTTGTAAACACCAAAGGCAAAAACTTCAGTCCAGAAAAGTGGATTCCTTTTTAATTTACAGCATAAAAACAACCTTGAGAAAATAAACATCGTGGCTTAGACAAGTTTCCATCACTGAAAGTTGTTCCTCTAAGAAAAGCAAACTACAGATATGTGTAAGAAGTGAAACGGGATGAGTTCTGAAAGAATGAGTGAATTAATTCTGAAAGGTATTTGATCAAATTTATAGGTCTTGTTCATTGATACATAGTCTTATGAGAATCTAGGAAAAAAGTAATTTCATATTCATAATTAGAAAGAAAGTTGTCCTTTCTTCCAAGAAGTTTACACTAGGCAGATCTTTGTTATCACTGATAATTAATAATTTTTAGTAAAAAACATAAACAGTACCTTTCTATGAGTTTTGCTTTCTTGAGAAATACATTGACTAGCCCTGTGTCTGTTTACTCGTTTATCTTTGCTACGTTAATGAAATTTAGGATGTTGTCACTAGAAGCAAGTGTTTGGTTTCCTAACATTCCTTTAGGAAATACACTATGTTTAGACAGAGTTTTAAAACAATCAGCATCCGGATCCAACATCTGATAAACTGTAAAGCAGGAATAGGTACTTTAATTTTAGAGTGATGATGACTTATTTCCTCTCATTGCAGGTTTGTGGCTTCTTTTTCTAGGACCTAGTAGTGAGAGGGAAGAAGTAGCAACTGGACCGAGTACTGACTGGGGAAAAAGGCTGGAGTACAAGAGCTTTATTATCTGTCAGTCACAATCTCACTTTAGACTCTCGGCTCAAGGAGCCCAGACTCTTTTCTACGTAAGTTGCCATTTATTGAAATTAATTATTATTATTATTATTACTATTATTATTATTTTATATGTCAAATGTATGGTTTAGGAATAATTCTTCCTTATATTGGGAATCATTGCAGGGAATCTGGGGAAAGCTTGTGCCTATAGTAGTTTTGGGAGCTATTTCTGAATTTCTATCAAAGTTACATTTTCAAAGACATTTACATTTACATCTTTTTCTTGTTCTTGTTCTCCTCCTAAATAAACATAAAGATTTCAACACTTGGCTTGAAGAAAACAAAGAACAATAAAATTAGATTATTGCCCTTTTACTTTTATTCATTCTCTTCAAATCTCCAGTAAAGACCACTAAATGGCATAAGTACTAATTTATAAGCAAATAGCTTTCATGTTCGCTCACATCTAACAATATTCAGTTAAATGATTGTGTGAAAATTCTGGCCTCTATTGTTCCTTTATTGGGAAACTCTTTGAAAGCCAAAATGATTTTCATGAACTTCAAAAAGGTGTGATGGCCAATTGTTTGAACTGCTGTGACAGAATTCTCCCACGTATTCATAGAACACAGTGTATGATGTTAGAAACTCAGACGCTTTCCACACCGGATGTTAGTTCATGCACACGTGTCTATGGCTGTGATGTGGGAAGGACAATGCCCCCAGGTTTATAAGGATCTCAGCTATAAACAGGATGCTAAGGAATAGCTAAGGACAGAGTGCTTCTCTTTGCAGAGAGAAAAGGTTTGAAGGCATTCATGTCAATATTCTGCTGGAGTAATTATTTTAAAAACTTATTCAAATTATTTTCTGAGTATCCTGCTCTAGTCAACAGACTTTAATAAAATTCTAGAATAACCTCCAAGTATTCCAAGCACAGCACACATACGATTTAAGTTTTAAAAGAAGTACTCCATTTTATGATGTTAAAAAAATAAAATGAAAACAAAGATTTGATCTGGTTATTTCTGAGTTCCCTTCAGATTAAAGATAATAAGAATTTATAATTTTATATAATATATATAAATTACTTTTTAATTAATTGAAATGCAAAGCTTTTCTGTACATTAACTTTATAGGAATATGACTATCATTATAGCAAAGTATATATGTTTATTATTTAGTATGCATTTATGGATATAATCATTGAGTTTCTAAAAATTATGAATTTATTTGAAAGGCAGAGCAACAGAGAGGTAGAGAGATCTTCCTTTCACTGGTTTACTCCCCAAATGGTTGCAATAGCCAGATGTGGGCAGGTCAAAACCAAGAGCCAAGAACTCTATCTGGGTCTCCCACATGGGTGGCAGAATCCCACAGGTGATTGGTAAGAAGAAGGATTGGAAATGGAGCAGTCAGTACTTGAACCAGCATTCCAATATGGGACTCTGATCTTGCAAGGGGTGCCACTGTACCACAATACCTGCCCCCTACTGAGTTTTTTGTTATTTTTGTAAAGAAACAAACTAAGCAACACATTAATAATTGCCTTTGACTGGGAGCTGGATACCCAGGAAATCCAAGGGAAGACATATTTTAGGAAGTAAACATATTCTTTATAAACTGTATCTACCGGACTCTTAAAATAATCAGTAAATTATAGTATGGATTATTCTAAAGGGCAAAATCATGTGGTGCATCAAAGGAAGATAATAAAGAATATCCCTTGCTGAAGCAATGCCTTCTCATTTTCAGTCTCCCAAACACTTACTATTCTCAGCCTCTTCTCTACAGTTTACCACACTGAACTTTCCTCTACTCTGCCTCAACACACACCTTTTCTTTTCTCTTTGTGGTGATGCTGATGGTGATCAGATGGAATCCTCGACTCTACTCCAGCCCAATCCTACCTGAGCCTTCGCTCAGAATAGGTTCTCACTTGTTCTCTTGATCCATCTTCTTTTTTGCTCTCAGTTCTTGATCCATATTTTTTTAAAGGCATCCTCAACTTACTTCTGATATGCTCTCACCTTAAAAGGAAAATAGAAGTCACACCCTCTTTTTATGAGCCATTTATGTTTCGTGTGCTCCATTTTTACTTACTTCTTTTTCTTTTTTAATAGCCAAACTCAAGTCACACTCATTGTTTCTATTTCCTTACTTTCAATTCATGGCCCAATGTACTGAAATCTGCCTCAGTCCTTACATCTCCTCCTACCCTGATTCAGCTCCCATTGAGGTCATTAATAAAGTACCAACAGTTAAAAATCAGCATTGATTTAAAAAAATGTGTCTATTTGAAAGAGTTAGATATCTTTCAGCTGCAGCTTCACCCGCCAAATGGCCAGAGTTGGGTCAGGCCAAAGTCAGGAGCTTGTAAGTTCATCCAGGTCTCCCACATGGGAGTAGGAACCCAAGCACTTGGGTTTTTTTTAAAAAAAGATTAATTTATTTATTTGAGGGGCAGAGTTACAGACAGAGATTGGGAGAGACAGTGAGGGAGAAGTCTTCCTTCCAGTGCTTCACTCCCCAAATGGCTGCAATGCCTGGAGCTGGGCCAATCCAAAGCCAGGAGCCAGGAGTTTCTTCTGGGTCTCCCACAGGGGTGCAAGGGCTCAAGCACTTTGCCCATCTAGAGTTTTCCCAGGCCATTTGCAGGGAGCTGGATAGGAAGTGAGCAGCCAGGACCTGAACCGACGTCATATGGGATGTCAGTGCCGCAAGCAGAGGCTTAACTTACTACACCGCAGCGCAGGCCCCAAATATTTCTTATCTAAGTGTTTACTAGAATGCAATCACAAAAGAAACAGTTTGTGCGACCTGTTCCGCAAGTCTCAGGAAGTACCGAGATTCCAGAGGTGTTGTTCTGTCATCTCTGTCAACAGCATCTGGCAATCAGTCTTTCCAAGTTCATGGCTGACACCTGTGGCATCAACCCTATGATTATAGGTTGCCAGCCTTACTGGTTTCCTATTCCTTGATCATGCACTCATAGTGAGAGGAAGAGTATTTCCAACATATTGTAATAACTTTACTTCCATGAAAAGCACATTTAATTGTAATAATTAAAAAAGTATTCAATTCACCAAGAGACACCTATTTCTGATAATTACTACATGAATTAGCAAAGCATCATCTTTGATGCAGGTCAAGACAACAGAAGCTCTGTTCTTGTAGGAGCCACCTCTGTATTTACAGGTTCTGAAGTAGTGAGTCAGCTATTTCTCCTGGACTGTGTGTGCTTCATTAGAGACAAGCAGCACCTGGCTTGCAACTGAACCTAAGTATTCTACACACACAATCACACCATATATGTGGAAGTGTTTTAGAGTCAGTTATAGACACCAGAGCAACTATAGTCTCATGTCTTCGTCTTCATCTCAGAACGTTCACCCTAATTCTGGACTCATCTGTAAATGATTTCATCAGAAATTCAGCCTGTCAAAATCTGAACTCATTTTTCCCCCTTCCCATTCCTAAGACATTCCTCTTTTACATTTCCTACTCGTTTCTCTTAATATACGAATTACCCTTTTTCCAGGCTCTTACACACGTGTTATCATTCAGCAAATCCTGTTAGTGTTAGAGCCAAAATGCTTTAAATGCCAACTGTATCATTTACTAGCTATGTGACCTTGTACAAGTTTCTTAACCTCTTTGAACTTCAGTTCCCTCATCTGTAAACTAGGGATAATAACATCTGCTTCACAGGTTCAGTGTGAGGATGAAATAAGATGAAATGCCTAGCATAAATCTTGTCATATGATAGAGGCCCAATGTTAGCTTTCCTCATTTTTCCCTTTTTCTAAGACCACCATCTTCTTTTGTTTGCTGAGTCTGTACCTTCTGAGTAATTCCTAATTAATTTATTCAGCAAATATTCATTTAGGCCCTTAAGTGCTTAAAAGGCTTGTATACAAGGTTTTGGGAGAGCAATGGTGACAAAGCAGACATAGTTCTTGCAACAACGGAGGTATATTTTAATAGAGAAAATGGATACAAAAAAGTTCACACATAAAGAACTACCACAAAATAAATTTTAACAAGAATTGTGAAGGAAATACACAGGAATCTGAAAGAGAGAAGAGGTGCTGTGATGAGTGTGGTTTTCTACATCAAGGGCAGTTTACGGATTGTTTATTCCCCATCTGCCAAAAGAAGAGTACAGACACCAAGAGCAGGTGTTCAGAAACTTTTCTAGCCATTTGGCATGACTGCAGTAGTCGAGTGTGTGTTAGACAATTAGTTACACAAGATATTGACCACCATACTCATGCCACATTGGTGTGAGCTGTGGAGAATCTATGCACAACAGAAACTTGTTACAACTGGTGGTGTTTTAAGCTTAGTTTGTCAGCTGTAAACCAAATGTATAGAAGGTTACTTCAAAAGTTCATGGAAAATGGGAATAGAAGATATTTAGTTTGGGGCAAAAATTCATATGAGAGATATTTTACAAGTTCATGGAAAATGAAAAATGTGTACTATGAAAAAATGAATGAATTTAAAATTTTTTGCATCAAAATATATTTTAATTTCATTTCTACTCACTTTTTGAAGGATTCTTGTATTAAATCCCATATCTCGGCCGGCGCTGTGGCTCAATAGGCTAATCCTCCGCCTGCAGCGCCGGCACCCCGGGGTTCTCGTCCCCGTCGGGGCACCGGATTCTGTCCCGGTTGCTCCTCTTCCAGTCCAGCTCTCTGCTGTGGCCCGGGAGTGCAATGGAGGATGGCCCAGGTCCCTGGGCCCTGCACCCACATGGGAGACCAGGAGGAAGTGCCTGGCTCCGGACTTCGGATCAGCGCAGCGCGCCAGACGCAGTGCGCCAGACGCAGCGGCCATTGAGGGGTGAACCAATGGAAAAAAGGAAGACCTTTCTCTCTGTCTCTCTCTCTCTCACTGTCTAACTCTGCCTGTCCAAAAAAAAAAAAAACCTCGAAATCCCATATCTCTCTTTCATTAAAAATAATTTAAATTTAATATTACAGGACAAATTGCTGGCTAAAGGAATTATAAATTGTAAAGGTATAGTGTTCCTGTTTCATTTTAGAGAAAGAAAATATTC